ATCTGAGCAGATAATCGGGTCCAAGCAGCCTGGAGTCGGGAGCGACCCTGAGATTGTCGGGAAGGAAGAATCGGAGCTCAGATCGGCCCGATTATCCTGCAGAGTGAGCCAGGCTTAACTGGGCATATCTTAGCCGATACCGATAGTCACTTGATACCCTCGATCGGCCGATATCATCAGCTGGCTGATTAATCGGTCCTGCTTTAATTTAAACATGTTTTTTTTTTTTTCACTTTAGCCCAGTCATGAACAGATACAGGATCAATACAGAAAACACGAAACCCTTAAATGCGACTTTTATGCGATAGATAGAATCTTTTAACTTCATTCTATCTTCTGTCAGCTACACTTAACTCTTCACTCACAGTGGCCTTCACCTCTTCTTTTATACACAGAGCTCTATTATTCCACTCATGACTCTGAAGTGGGATCACTGCTTTATGAGCGCTGCTGCTCTCCCACAGTTAGTAATAGTAATGAGTGAGAGTCTCTGACTGATGAGCACGCCTGCTAGACTCACAGTCGCTACAGAGATGATGATAGCTGTAATAATATTAAAGGAACAATGATGGCTGTAATATATTTAACGGCTTACATAAACCTCCTAATCTCCTGGATTTAGCAGATAAGAATATGTCAGTCAATCTGTCAGTGAGAAGACGTTGCCGCGGGCGACTGAAAACAAACTCTCTTACTGTGTGCGGATTTGAAACGTCAGCTGTTGTTGTGATTTTCTGTAGGAAACTGTCCACATGCAGAAAGGAAGTAGGAGAATAAAGAGTGGAAAGCAGGGTGGTTAACACCCTTTCATTAAAACACTAAAGTCCAATGCAGCTTTCCCCCTGCTGTCAATCATCCCTGCTCCTCTGGTCACCCTGAAGGCAGGATGTCCTGCACACTATGGTTTGTTACTGTGTGAGAGAGTTCTGTTCAAGGGTCACTTGTTTAGTTTTTAGGGCTGCATGTGTAAAAGTAAACAGCTGAAATATTCCCCCTAACTATACCCAGAATTTTTCCAGACGATTTTTTAAAAACGAGCAAGTGGGAGTGGTCAGTGAAGTTAACATCCTGAAGAAGAAGAAGTCGACATACAGGATAGCATCAATAGAAATATGTTCATATCTAACCCTGAGTGCTGATTGTTTATGCTCTAGAAAAGCAAGACGATGGACTGCAGGCACAAAAGGCAGCGTATTATTTTGTGATAAGTAAATAAAAACAGCTCGACACAACAACTCATGGTCATCCACCACTTATTGAGGTGCTAGCTAGCAGCTATTTGAAAGGCTGGAGCGAACCGAGCTGTGGAGGGTACTGAAGGGAAATAAACATTCAGGTAATTACAGTGATTGAGGCGGTATAGGAAATTAAAGCATGGATCGCTCTCTCCAGATCTTTTGGCCACATGAGTGATTTGATCTTGGCTATATATCTGGAGAACCTTCTTTAGGCTAACAACACACGTCCTGATCAAAAATAGGGTTTCTGGCTGAGGGCTCCTCAGGGTTAACTAGTTCTCCTAGACCTGCAACCGTTTGCTTTCTGATGACAATTGACTAATTGATGTGACTAATTGACTAATACTGTAGATGACTAATTGACTTAAAGAAATACTACTATTCAATGAGTAGGGGCAGCACTAGTCCGTATATTGATGGTAATGTGTCTTGTGGTGACAAACCCATGGAAAATGTAAACTCAACTGCAGGTTACCTTACTTTTGCTTTTCTTTTAGCATCTTTAAGCTCTCTGTTTTGGTTTAGGAGCTATAACTGTATTGTTTTGATTCAGTCTCACTGCTGCCATCAGTGTCTTTTTTAAACCCAATCATCTTAGACATGTAACTATGTGTATGTTTACAGCAAGCTAATGAAGCTAGCTAGCTGATATTTCCCTCAGGAGCTCGTGAAGGCCACATTGTTAATACACCTTTAAACAACAAAGCTACCAAGATGATGTGCTTGATTTAGTGGAGAGACCGCTTACACATCTGTTTTAATGTCTCCTAAACAAAAGAAATGATTATCATGGAACAACATGCTTAGAGACACAGGAGACTCGATTAGCATCAATTAAGACAAGATGATAATAAACTCTGATGTCTCTTTCATTCACCTCATGTCCAATGAGGAATATCTGTACAGCATCTTCAGCCTGTTCTGGTGTGTCACTCATGTTGAACTTGAGGTATGTTGCTGCATTAAACCTCTTAGCAACATTTTAGTTTGACCATGTTTTTGATGGAGAGAGAACTGTAAAATCTGTGCTTTGTCCAAGAGCCCAGCAGCCAGAGGGGGAGGGCAACAGATGAGAGATTAACTGGAGCTGTTGAGCTCCTCTGTAGTAATGGAGCTGCAGCAGAGTGGGCACAGTGCCATGTGGCGGTGGCGATGGCGGGCAGAGGATGATGTGGAGCTGCTGAACGTTGACGCTCCGTACAGGATTAGGGGCCGTGAGTGCAGCGGGTCGGCGCTGCTAACTGAGCTCATATGTTTAGGACAGAGCGTTGTAGTGAGAGTGATGAAGGAAGGAGAACGAGGGGGAGGAGCTTAGGGAGGTCTTTATGTGGAGCAGAGTTCAGGCTTTATACTGACTCAAACAGCAGCCTGTTGTGTATACTATATAATCACACATACTACTTCAGCTTCTTTTTGTGTTTTCTTTTTCTTATTAAACGACATAAAGCAAGTCAATAACCAGGCTCTTAATGATCATCATCGATCACACCAGGTTGATTTTGCAGGCGGAACAATGATTCATCCTCTGGAAAAAGACAAAAAAAGAGTTGATTTAATACTTTCTATGGAGGTTAAAGACTTAAAAAGGACTAAAGTTTAAAGGTTCTGTCAAAACCCCAGGAACATAAATATTCAGAGCTTTTAGTTCTCTGAGAAAGTGCCTAAAATGTGAAGCATACATTTCCCATAATGCAACAGATTCAGATTATTGTAACCCTGATGATACCAAGCATATCTTTTGCTACCAACATATGTCAAACAACTGTTCCCTGGAGTTTAGCTCAGTTTGATAAACAGAAAGTGAATCTGCAGGAATTCTGCTTAAAATGTTTCATCTTCCTTAAAGTAAAGATTTTCTGTTTTATTAGTTTTTTAGCTTGACAAACTGAACATCTGTTGGTCAGACATATTGAGATGTTTAGAGATACACATGAGGACGAAATTATTAGCCCCCCCATGAAAATTTCATTTTTTTAAAAGTATTTCCCAAGTGCTATTAAACAGAGCAAAGAATTTTTAACACAGCTTTTTCAAACATCCTAGTTTTATTTTGGATGCTTACATTATTTTACTTTGCACACAGAAATGAAATTATTTCACAAAAACCAAAAACTACCAGGTTAAAAAATATTAGCCCCCTTAAGAACTGACCTTTTTATTGAGCCATAGCACAAACCACTGTTGTGCAATGATGTGCTTTAACTTTGTAATGCTCAAAGCTTGTAAAATCAAGTTAAAATTGAGGGTTATCTCCCAATTTACACACAGTATAAAAACGTCAGTAAGGGTTTGAGCTGTCACTTGAGAAAGCATCATGCCAAAAACAACAGAAATCAGTTTAGACTTGAGAAAAATAATTGTTGATGCTCACAAAGCAGGAGAAGGATATACAAAGTTATTACAGCGTTTCCAGGTGTCAAGAACTGGAGTGAGAAGTATCATCAAGAAATTAAAAGAGAGCCACACTGTACAGAACAAGCCTGGCAGAGGTAGGAAGTGAAAGATTTCAAAGACTCTGGAAAGAAAACTAGTCAGAGATGTGTCTAAAGACCCCAGAACAACTGCCAAGACACTAGTGAATGACTTAGCCAAGTCGGGAATTGTAGTCTCAAAGAAGACAGTCACAAGAGCTCTGCACAGGAATGGACTGCAAGGTTGCAGACCAAGAAAAACTCCACTTCTGCAGAAGAGACACCTTCAAGCCAGACTGAAGTATGCTAAGGACAACCTGGAGAAAGATTATGCATACTGGAAGCATGTCCTTTGGTCAGATGACACAAAATTAGAGCTCTTTGGCCATAGAGACATTGCTTATGTTTGGAGAAAGAAGGGAGAGGCGTATAACCCAAAGAACACCGTCCCCACAGTGAAACACGGTGGTGGGAGTATTATGCTGTGGGGATGTTTCAGTGCGTCTCAAACTGGGAATCTCGTCAAAGTGGAAGGAATCATGAAGAAAGAAGGATATGTGAAGATTTTGAAAGAAAACCTCAAGCAGTCAGCAGCAAAACTGGGTCTGGGTCATCGCTTTGTCTTCCAACACGACAACGACCCAAAGTATACGTCGCTCCTGGTGAAGAACTTCCTCCAGAAGACCAAAGTGAACATTATTGACTGGCCTGCACAAAGCCCTGACTTGAATCCCATTGAAAATCTGTGGGGTGAACTGAAGACCAAGGTCCATGCCAGAAGGCCATCAAATCTGGAGGAGCTTGAGAGATTTGCCAAGGAAGAATGGGCTGGGATTCCTCAGGAGACGTGTCAGAGACTTGTTGAAAACTACAACAAACGACTGCAGGCTGTTATCCAGCAAAAAGGATACACAATTGACTATTAGCATCAGGGGGGCTAATAATTTTGACCCTGGTAGTTTTTGGTTTTTGTGAAATAATTTAGTTTCTGTGTGCAAAGTAAAATAATGTAAGCATCTAAAATAAAACTTGGATGTTTGAAAAACCTCTGTTAAAATTCTTTGCTCTGTTTAATAGCACTTGGGAAATACTTTTAAAAAAAATGAAATTTTTTAATTTCGTCCTCATCTGTAAATTAAAATGGCATTTTCACCTTTACTGATATTTGTAGACTTAACTTAATCGTTATTTGCTGTTATGGTTTTCATGTGATATGATAAATCAAGTAAACTATTTAATTCTCATTAAGATGGGTTTTTTTTTCCAAAGATTGTGTACCAGAGTCGTTTTTATCTTCCACACCTGTACAACATTAAAAAAGTGTTTTTTTTCTTGTTCATTTGTTCCACAGGGAGCGAAGCCGGGACCGCCACAAATCCCGCAGCAAAGACAGTCGCTCAGAAAAGTCTGTGACAATAAACACGCCGCCTGCAGAGCCGCTGCTGGGCGACTCGGCCGTCCGGAGCGAACAGGTCCAGGTGAGTCTGAACACAGACACTACAACACAAATTGCCTGTACATTCACATACTGTATGTTTACGACTTCTAGTGCAGGATATCTATGTTTGTGTGATGTATGAGGGATTTAGATGAAAGGAGATTTATCAAGTCACTCGGAAAAATGAGTTGGAATGATAATCAGCCCGGGCTGGGACTGACCATCTGGTACATGAGGGCAGATACAGAAGGGCTATTCCACTTTTAGGGAGGTGTGAGATGTCATTTTTTAAGGAAAACTAACACACATGTGTCTCTAACTTTTCAACAAGGCCTCAGATTGTAACTTATCCGGTGGACTACATCTTAGTTTTATCTCTTTAATAAAGAGGCACACACTGTAGTCCACTGCAGGGAGGGTGTTAATCCATCAAACTCTCTGTTGTAAGGTGGGGAGGTGTGCTCAGTGCCCCCCCCCCCCGCCAAAATGGATCAGACCAAAGCAAGAAAAAGGGCAGCTTAGCTTGTTACTGTCCGTCAAAAGTCCCACTCTCCCCTCAGAAATCATGCAGACTCTGAAGTCAGTCGATGCACGCTCAAAGTATAGATCTCAAAGTGATGGATTATTTGATAAAAGAAAGTTACAAGGTAGGAAACTCTTTACCATTATGTCTGACATTTTTACCACTTCATTAATGACTCCATATTTGCTAAACACAAGGTCATGTATGTGCACACATAGACAATCCAATGACACATTTTCATTTCATAAAACAGACAGTCGTGTGATTGTGTTTCTTGGACTTGGATAAAAGACAGAAGAAATAAAGGATCAGATAGCAGCGTGTGGAGCTGGGCAGGTTGACATGTTGAGGCGTGAAACTCCTGGTAGCACTCGAGGGAGACAAGAGTTTTTCGTCCAAAACACTCAAAGAGAGTGAACATGAGTAATAGCCAATTTGTCAGCTTTAGTTTTGGGTGGTATTGTTGAGCAAGAATCCAAGATGAATGCTCAAAGTTTGGACTAGAAGCCTTTTAAATCACTTTGAGTCATTGTGACTTATTGACTGATGATCGTGTCCTACATGTCTGTTTAAAGCAGCAGTTAGTAAGGCTGTGGTTTGCTATGAGGATGTTTAACTGATTGCATCAATACTTATTCCAAGGGATCCGTCTAATTGCTGGTGTTTAAGATTGTAAGCACTTGCATTATGGGGATTCGACAGGTGAGCCATGAAAGTTACCTGGGCGCCCTGCCCATGTATCGTCTATGTGTCGGAAACACTGACGTATATGGTGGCAAATATTGTGAACTTTTAAGATGAAATGGAAAAAATAAAACGTTTTGTGTGTTTTGTGCACCTACTGTATCAGCAATAACATGGTTCATTATTATATTTAGTCAACCATGAGTTTTCCTGATATCGGCCATTATCTGCTCGATATTGTTGGCCAGCTGATATATCAGTAACAGTCTTAACAGCATAGCGAATTAACGTCAGTGACAAAATCAGCTTGATTCTTTTTTTTTTCAATTGGCCCGAGAACTCACTCATCAGAGTTGTTAGCTTGTTTTGTGTGTGTGTGTGTGTGTGTGTGTGTGTGTGTGTGTGTGTGTGTGTGTGTGTGTGTGTGTGTGTGTGTGTGTGTGTGTGTGTGTGTGTGTGTGTGTGTGTGTGTGTGTGTGTGTGTGTGTGTGTGTGTGTGTGTGTGTGTGTGTGTGTGTGTGTGTGTGTGTGTGTGTGTGTGTGTGTGTGTCAATATCGGCCAACTGATATATCTGTCAGTTAGTTCAAATCAGCTCAGAGGCTCTCAGGTAGGCAGGCAGTTCTCTGTTATAAGTGTGAACTGGGCCTGATTGTTCCTCCTGCATGCTTTGAAAGAAGGAATTTCAACACTTTCTGCTGGCAAGAGTCCCATTCATCTAATAAAAAACAGAGATAGAGATTTCAGCGCACAGGCAGCCTTAGCTTACCTAGGAATGAGCCGCTCGTTCAGCCAAACAACTGTCTGGCACAGTGGCCTTCATCAAGTGTTGGGCTTAACCCGCTGAAGGGAACGATGACAAATCCAAACACTTGCAGAAGCTCCAAATGTTCAACGTTTGCTGACCTACTTGGCATACACTTTCCCTTGTGGCAAGACTCGTTAGCAGTACCAGTGTCTAATTTGACCACATGACAGGATTTGCCACAGAGCAAAAGCCACCCTTGGTATTTTGGTCTTCATGTCTTATTCATGCTGTGGCCTGCAGTGGTGCCGCTGACAGAGCGGGGAGTGTTTGGCTTTAGTTTGAGTAATCAGGGCCACCGAATCTACTGAGAGAGAGGCTCAGCACAAATCCATGTGTGTGTGCGTCTGCGCTCTAGTCTGCAGCCTCACATATGCTCCTGTTTGTGGGTGTTTTTGTGTCTGGGTGCGTCAGCCTCGTCTAGTCTTCAATGTGCAGCGCTCATTACTTCACTGCTGGGACTGAATCAGAGTCTTGGCTGACAGAGAAGCACATCGCTCCGGGCAGGGATGTCCTCACAATCAAGCACAAGAGTTTCTCATGTCTGTGATGCATCAGGAAGGATTCAGGAAGGGGCTCTGCTTTACATGGAAAACACAATGGGAGATTCAAGATTAGCACCAAAACCTGCCAGAAAACATCTTTGAACTGCTGTCAATAGATGGTGTCTGTCTGTGTAAACTTCTTGGCAGCACATTATTTGTTTTATTTGTTAGAGTCTCTCTGCACCTTTAAGAAAAAGCTAAAGACCCAGCTCTTTCATGAATACCTACTAACTTAATGATGATGGTCTCCATATCATTGATGATGATGATGGTAATGACGATGGTTTTTATTTGATAACGACGACTTATAAGATGGTTTCTATACTGATTAGAGCTCTCAAGAACTGCCCTCAATGTTGTGCTTTGCCTCTGGTCACTTCCTGTCAGCACCTGTGTGTCCAATCTAACTCAAAGCTGATCGTTTGCTCTTACTGACATTGTTCCCTTTTTTCTAGATCCTTGCTTGTGTTGTACTTACTCTCTGATGTACGTCGCCTTGGATAAAAGTGTCTGCTAAGTGAATTGTAGAATTATTCCCCTTGTCTGTAAAGTAAATATCAAGCTAGAACCAACAGCTGGTTAGCTTAGCATCGAAGCTGAAAACAAACAAACTAGAAGATCTGACCAACTAGCTCCTCTCGATCTCTTAACAAATCTGAACAGTATAAATGACAGGTGGTTTTGTTCATGAATATTTTATTGTTGGGAGCAGCTGCCAGATAAACCAGTTTTCCACTTGATTAAATACCTTAAGACATGCTTTTAGGAGGAGAATTATGCTAGCTGTTTCCCCGTATTCAGTCTTTCATTGACTTATATCTTTATTTCCAACATGTGACTGAACCAAAGAAGATAAATGTTCAAGAAAAGCAATATAATATCAATCCATGTCATATTCAACACTAAACAATGACAGTCTAAGCTAGGCTAACCCATCTGCAAAATGTTTGTAATGTTTGTATTGAAAGCTCCTGTCAGGATTTTACAACAGATTATGAAATAGACGTCATTTAATTGAAATTTCCCCAAATTACCTTCAAAAGCAGGCCAGACCATCAACAACATGATAGATTATTTATTTCATGTTGTTTCCAATGGCTGAAACTACTGCTGCAGGGTAGGTGTCGGACATAGGGATTAAGAGCACACGGTAGGAAAAGACAGTTTAATTTTTCCATGGCAAAGATTCTTGATGAGTGATGAATTCAAAATCGAATCGTGCTGAAGCGGGACATCTTTGCTAGTCTGAGCGCGCCCTCAAAATGTTAACGTGTGAATAAACCATAACGTGTGATCGACTTGTTTCTATTATCAAATGCTTAAATACATAGTTAGTACATTAATAGGCAATGTCTCATTATGGTATAAATATAAGAAATTAAAAAGACAGATCATTATAGATTTTTGACAGAAATGTTACGACCCACAAGAAAGTCTCGCGCAACCTCTGACATGTACAGGACAAGATCAGACCGCTTTGTCCACAGAGGGTGCACACAAATCCTACGGTCCTTACAGGAGCTTTAACCCTCCTGTAGTCCTAGTGCACTTTTTGACGTTTAAAGACAGTTTTTTGTGGATCATTTTGGCTGTGTTGATGCATATGGCATACATTTTGTGGTGAATTTTAAAATGTCATGAAAATGTATTTCTCAACTCTTTAATACAATATGTTAAAAAAAAGAATCACACCTTTAGTCCTGTGCCATTGACTCCCATTGAAACGACATTTTTTGAATACACTACACTCCTTGTGGTATGAATTACATTTTTGATTAATCTTTTCATGGATCCATGATAGTGAGGGACTGGAATTTCAGTTTTTACTGTTTTCCTGACATAGTTTCCAAAACAAAAGCCTGCTAGTATGTCTTTGTTTACACAGGCGAAATTGCAGGGAAACAGGGCCAAAGGTGTTTATTATTATAAACATTACACAAAAAGTAAGGACATTTGTGTTTGGTAGATTATTTCTTTGTTGTAACAATGCTTCTTGGCAATCAATCTTATACCGTTGGAAAGCCTGTTTATTTCCCTTTTAAATGGTGCCACATTTGTAAGGAATATGCATTTGTGGGATGAGCAGCAGAGATGAGTATGTGGGTTGCGCCCATGAAAAACGTGCCAAATCTTCTCAGCCAAAAAGCGTATTCTGCTTTTGACTCTTGTTTGGTGTCTTTTAGTGGATTGGATGATTGAAACACTCAATATTTGCTATGTATGGTGAGGACTGAAGTTAATAATAATAACCATTTAAAAAAAAAATATATATATATATATATATATATATATATATATATATATATATATATATGGAATTATATATTATTAGATCATTTTTCTATGGCAGTCTTTATACTGTTTATTGTTTTAGTTTAAATACTGAAAGTCTGTCTATCTCTCGTAAAGCCGTTTGTATGAGACTGTCCTTCAAAGGTCTATGAACCAACCCCCACTCTTCCCCTCGGTTATGATCAGAACATTT